TCTCGCCCATCTATTGGTCTGATTACACACGAGGTTCAGAGACCATCACGCTGAAGGGTGTTCCCCTAGCGTTTCCGACACAGCGTCTCGTCCCCTCGAGGAACTAGGGTTACATACGTAACCTGAGACGATTTTTTTGCTATAAACATACCTTCATCTGTCCAAGTTTAATTTGCAAGGACAATTAAAGTAAGCTACTCATAGCCTGGCAAGAAAAGTGTGCAATGTGTGGCCCCTTAATAAAAACATTTGAGGTGAGGCTGTCAAATAGGGGCAGGAACTCGAGCTGCGTCGGAAACGCTAGGGGAACGCGACTGCCCACGCCGCCAGACTTCTAAGTCTCTGCCTAGTGTGGAAGACTGCACAGCTAGGGCGAGAGAACAGAAGAGCCAGGAGTGGCTCGCATGTCTAGGTCATAGAACCTGACGAAGGTCAGGGGCGTGGACCATCCCGCGGCGTCACAGATGTCCTACATGGAGACACCTGCCAGGAAGGCCTCAGAGGTCGCCACACTTCTAGTAGAGTGAGCCCTGACCCCAAGCTTCTGCTGGTCTGGATCCCCTAAGGGACGAGGACTGAGGGCCTGGAGCATGACAGGCTCGAAGAGAGGCCTACAGAGAGCCTCTAGCACCACAGCCAGGTCCCACGTGGGGACACGAGATCGTCTCAGCCTCAGCGCACCTTGGAGGAAACGTGTACTAGGGGGTGTCTGCCCACTGACTGGCTACCAAGAGGGGCGTGGTAGGCCGCAATAGCCGCCACGTAGACCTTCAGGGTGGAGTGGGTCAACCCTGTGGAGAAATGGGCCTGCACGAACTCCAGCACTGTACCAACCGGGCAGTTAACTTAGGTATCACGTTGGACGCAGCTGCCATCAGACCCAGCAGTCTCTGAAACGGTTTGACAGTGAGTGACCGGCCTTCACTGACTCTCGCGACTGCGGTAAGGATCGACTCGATCCGAGCAGGGGACATACGTGCCTGCATCGGGGTCCAATCCCACACCACGCCTAGATAAGTGGTCCTCTGTAATGGAGAAAACACACTCTTCTTGGCGTTTAGTCTCAACCCCAGCTCTCTCATGTGGGCGAGAACGACATCTCGATGTCGAACCACCATCTGCTCTGACTGAGCT